ATTGGATTGCAGAGAGACACAGGATTGGCTGCGGCCAGGTGGTCCAATATGTCTGCGCCCTAATCCGACGCCACACCACTCCACACCACACACCACACTACACCACAATGTCATCTGTCGCTGAGGCTTGCCAAAGTCTTTCAAATTTTCCGGGATCTGCAAGTTTGCTAAACGATTTAGGGAGTAAAATTAAAGGCATTCTGTAACAAATTTTAGAACAAACATTAGTAAAACTGCGCGGACACAAGTGTTACATTGGTTTTCTAAGGGCTGTGGACCAGTTTGGTTTGTGTGTTTTCTTACATCATTTTTTAGGCAACATTGTTTTAAGTGAAGCCATCGAACGTGTGTTTGTTGGGACAAAATATGCTGACATAAACCTTGGTATTGTACTGGTTCGCGGTGAGAACATCTCGCTCATTGGTGAGCAGGTGGGTAAATATCCTTGACTTAGAACTCCAAGACTTGTCTTTACTTCATAGCTATAACTTGCATCCCTCTACTTTCGTATCCTTTTTTTATGATTTCATCCCCATGAAAACTAAGTACATTCACTTTATTCATATTGAGACTTGGTCTTCACTTCTAAATACGTGCACGCCCGTAGTTTTCCTAACGCACAATTCCTTACCTAAGCAGCACATAAGTATTTTAGGTGAATTTCAAAATATTCGTTTACCGTCTCTTTTTCCCTGTTCTCTATCGTGACTTCAAGCTCTAAAAGTGCTAGTAACATGCGTTATCACGGAACTGAGTTCTTAATCAATGCTAATAGCTTATACCTCTTTACTGATCATGGCTGTTTTGTTCCGGTTCATTTAGAAACAAGATTACAATGTTCCGTCGACATTTGAGAAAGTGTCTGAAGAAGAAATTTTCACCCTGCAGGCCAAACTCATAGCCGAGCGCAAAGAAGCCCACAAGCGGCGAGCTGACTTACTTGCCTCCCGTGGTATAGCTTGGTTGGACCATGACTTCTTGGACGACGTGTAATCGCCTTTAGTCCGTCACACTTTCTTACTGTGATGCATTTTTAGCTTTGATTCTATTGCCACTCACTCCCTAAGTACATTTATTGAATGCACTCGTTGATACTCTTACATCCGATGTAGTCGTTCTGACCTAAAAGCAATCGAAGCCGTTCCTTTTTCATTTACATTCGCGCAGACTTGTGGATTCAAATCCCAAAGATTCCTAGCTAAAGCTTTTTTACAACTAAAGGTTCCCTCCTATACATTCTTTGCCTTTCTTGTGGTCAGTTTTGATTAGTTGATACATGAATTATTCTTGCCAGAGTGTTGGGGCATTAATTTACAAGCAATAAGATATATTTGGACTGATAGTAAAAAAAGTAACTGGTTGCGCGTGAGTTAGCATATCGGGAAGTGCTGCCACTTTTGTCGACATGTGCTAGGTATGTTATCAGTTTACACCCATGGTCTGATTGAATCTCACATTTTTCTGAGCAATACTATTCTGAGGATAGGCGCAAAGCAAACCACATTAAACTTGGAAAAAGTTTACTTCTGATAAACTAGACGGACAGACTTGGCATTAATTTGGACCTTGGTGTCGATGTCGTGACACGATGCTGAGACTGGGAAGTCAAAATTGAAAAGAGAGTAAATCTATAACTTCAATGTCCTTAGTTACGTTGACCATTGGTTTGAGGTACTCGCTAGGGCAACTTATGCTGACACTAAGGCGTAGATGAAGTTCATGGAAGGACAATTTCCCAATATTAAACAGGCTCAATATAGACAAATTCTTAATGAAGTAGTTGGGTCAAAGCGTCGTTTGTGTTGAGTAGAATTCTGGTTTAAAGGTTATGAACTCCAGCGCAGTGTACCTGTATTTGAGAACGTACGAATGTAACGGCTCAGATTTCCTATTTATCTGGAAATTTACTGCAGCTTTCCCAGAATTGTCAGTGTGGCATTCTTGTTAGAAGGGTTGGTGCAATGCGGCTGTCGACGTGGATTTTAATTCATTCAATCTAACCTAAGAATGGGTAATTGAGCATTCATTAATTGAAATATGGATACGGTTTAACCATAATATATTCTGAAAACTTATAATAAAATTCCATGGTAACTAAGGCCGAGTCTCCTTCAAAGAATTATCATCGGTCTGAGCCAACTTCTTGAAATGACTTGAGGTAAGTATTTTATCATGTTTCAATGTTTTCGCTTTTTGTTTTCTTACGTGTGCCATGAACCAGCAACTAATAGCAACTAGTCTAGACTTCCTACTACGGAAATGTAACCTTCGTTTTGCGTAATTTTGCCATCGAGTTTTACGATCGCCATTATTTCCTTTTACAATGGGGGATCGTTACGATGAAACCTTCAGAACGTCTAACAAGTTATAAGAGCAGTCGGTAAATTTCGACAAATAGATTTCGCTCGATTACTTTGGAATATCAGTTAATCAAGCAAATCATTACAACTATTACATAAGTTGAAGAAATTGATGGACAGTCATGTTATTACATCAGTTACCCTCTACAAAAAGGCTTTTCAAATGACACCCCCATTCATCTCCCGTTTAACTTCGTTATTTATGACTTAGAAATGGAATTACAAGCGCTGTACATTGTGACCTCCTCCATTTGTGCCTTTTTCGAAGTCTTACAGATTGCTCCATTTTAATCTGAAAAATGTATTCCGTTCACAGAATTTTCAAGTCAGATCTAGAGGGCGGAAATGCCTTTAAGATTGTAATCCAATTGCAATTTGAGTTAGATTTTCCTTGTCCGCACAGGAACTAAACAACTAAGAAGTGCACAGCTAACTTCATGTTATTGTTTTCGTCGTCGAACTGAAGCCGTGATTAGCCACGCGTTGTGAGTCGAGTTAACTCACACTCATTAATCCGATCACTCCAGCCTCCGACGCAGGGTCTCCTTTTCGCAGAATGTCGCCAGCCGCGCGGATCCTCAAATCCCCCTCATTAGCACGAACATTTATCCTGGATTATCGTCACACCAAGGTCTCGATGCCAGCTCATATGTGACTCAAGCATCTGAAGCATAAATGCATACTCGCAAAAGCCACCCACGCCACAACGACATCAACTTTGTTGAGCTCAGAAACAAACGCTTGTGTCCACGTCCTCTCTGGTTCTGTTCCTCATCGCGGGCATTAGCGTAGCGTAACCGAACCAGACTTAATTTAGCAGTTCCGGCGTGGTTCGAAACCACATGCTGGGTAGCATCTTAAATCACCCCAGTAGTTATCATTTACTTTAAATTTACGTCACTAATAAATAGTTTAATTTTACTTTTGTTTTCCTAACGCTTCGCCATATAAATTAGGTAGGTTTTGTCACGTAAGATTTATGATCATCCCGTATCCATATTTGCATTAATTGTAATTCAAGTTTCCTGTCACATTTCAAAGCATATTATCCCAGCAAATGAATAAATCTTTTGTCTCGAACCATATTTTTATACTTAGAACATAACAGATTTTGGTCGATACTTAAAAGGTGTTTTTTTTTGTAAAAGAACGGGCCTGTTCTTTCTACACCGTATAACGTAGCAGCAGTGCATTGGTCTATGATATTTTACGACGAAAGAAATATAAGTCATTTGGCCCGAGCTAACGCAGCAGCCTGTCAGTAGGGCGGAAAACAAACAGGGACCTGTAGTAGCTAGGGTCTAGCACAACCTCACAATCCTCTAGTTAAGAGCCCGTAACAGCCCGACAAGAGTGGGAAGAAAGTGACAGGGGACAAGACAGTTTATCAGCATCACGCCAGCCAAGTATGTCTTAGTGTGTATGAGTGAACGGATGACGGACTTCTTATACAGTAACCGATAGAAAGGGGATGAGTCATTATCACCGTCAGGTCGGCAACCAGGGTTCACTCAGGCGCGATCGGTGCTAATTTGCTACATACCCGAGGTTAGGATACTAAAATATCGGTTACGAGCAGGTTCAGGTTGGACATTCGATTTGAGAGTATCACATATAAATTACGACTTCATACCACCACAACACTCCATTAAATGCCATAATTTTTGTTAATGCAAAAATAAATCTGTAGGTGTTGTGGTGCAGAAGTTGCAGTACTTTAAAGAATGTCTTATAATGTAAAACTTGATCAATGACACACAGTTTGTGTAATCACGTTTAAGGTGTCTGTCCTAATATGCCTCTTTTCATTGTTCCAAAATGTTACATATTAGTACTATAGTATCAAAGTTATAGAAATCTCGCACTTTTTGTAGTTTTGAGCACAGCAAATTGATTGTTGGGACTCGTGTATGCAGATAAATGATCATCCAAATCGTTTCACCTTACAGTAAATTTCTCCCATTTTTGGGTTTGAAATGTTATCTAGTTAATTCTGGACATAAAATCTGGTAAGGCTATTAATTCGTCCACTACCTGCAAGAATTTAAATTTCACACGCGTTATAAATAGCTTTGACTCTTTCCCGCTCATTTTAAGTTTGTGGTCGGTGTGGTTTTCGCATTGACATTTGTTGATTATTTGATCTTCTGGATTGGGCAAACTAGATATATGGAAAAATGCTTGACGGATGTGCAAGAGTGGTTTTCCGCCATCACAAAAGGAAAGCTCTCAAGTATTCAGAAGTTATTAAAGAATCTTGAAGGCATCGATGTTGCTGAAAATTATTCAATTAACGACGTCGAGGTACCCTGATGCATTTACATTTATTCATAGCATAATAATGTTACTGGCTTAATACTTGCTGCGCACATTGGCAACAAGGATGTTGTCCGCTGGTTCTTGACAAACAAAGCCGACCCAAACGCATCAACAAACGTAAGCACGAACCGTTCTTTTGATGTAGTATTATAGTTGGGTTGGAGAGCAATTCACTTCGCTGCAAGGAGAGGTCATGTGGCAACAGTTGATATGCTCGTTACTAGTGGCGCCGATTTAGAGGTCCGCACTCAAGTATGTCGTAATCATTGTAAAAACCTTCTAGAAAAATGAAACTCCCTTACTACTTGCCTTGTTTGCGCACATGTGGGACACGGTGCGCAAATTGATGCAGTTAGGTGCATCATTTGATGAAAGAAGTGAGGTATGCTATAATTGTATAGTCATGTTTGGTTTTGGCTGTGTTCCTTGTTTGATTTAGCGATCTAAGGCCAGACGAACGCTAATTCTTTATTCTTTTACAAGACTTTTACTGGCATCAAGCAATAAAATATTGGACTTGACATTTTATAGGATAATGTTAAGTGTCTTCCGTGTTGTGGTAGAGAAACTATGATATTTAATGATTTGCGTAAGATATTTTATAAAGTCCGACGGAGCTCTCGTCCACTTACTCAAAGGCTTTAGTACGCGAATGATTATTCCATGAAATTTAGCATGACAAACTTTCAAAATTGACGACCTGCATCGTATGTCACGTGTTGAGGAAGGCACCATTAATTCCGTTTCGCATCCATGCCGAACCTTGAGGCTCTTTTCTCTTTTGAGCCTCAATTGTCTATCCACATAAGATGTGATTTTGCATATCTTCTGAATACTGCGGAGCACCTAAGTTTAAAAAAACAGAGAAACTGTCAAAATTAACTGGCTGCGTTTTATACATTTTAACTTCGATTGACTTACGTGCTTTTTTTCTTTTAGGCACTTTTTATCCAGTACGCCCAGAAAGGCTACCTGTCAACAGAACTCATAGGAAAACGAAAAAATTTTCCACCTGAAAATATCTCTCCAAAGTTTGACCACAAACCCTTTAATGAAACGTCGCTTGCTGCACAAGTAGCGCAGTTGTCGACTTCAAAGTCCCAAGTTTTTGTCGATTTACATACCAGTTCACTTGTCAAACAGCTTCAGTTTCAAAACATTGGATATGATCTCGAGATTTCACGTCAAAAGCGGGAACTTACGTCGCAGCTGCAAGCACTTCCTCCACCATTTCCTGGCCGACTTTGCAGCAAGTTAAGCCAACTTATGAAGCGGATAACTAGTTCCAATTTATCCTCAGTTTTTCGTATATCCGCTGCTAAACAGGCACTTGAAATTTTCGATTCGATAAATTCCCCTGTACTTTCAAAGCCCTCCAAAGTTACCAAGCGTGGTGTGGCTGTCACCGGAAGCCGGTCTGTCGAGACCTACCTACGTGTTTTGGAGCTCACTGTTTGTGAGAAGCATTGTCCAGATGAACTGGCCTTTCTGATTGTTGAAGTTTGTATACGCCTTGTCATTTTATTTGGACTATACTCGCCAGAAAGTGGTGATAAGGAATCAGCCGCGTCAGCACCAGTTAATAACGGCCCGGCACAGGCCAATTGCAGCTCTGTTGTATTGAAAATCTCCTATGTTGCCCGAATGCTCCGTAATTTGTCTTGTAGCTCTTCAACACAATACAGAGCTGGGATGCTTTCGTTTATCAGCCATATTCTAGCCAATTGTCAGCCCCCGGTAGCAAATTCGGAAGACGTAAACAATGACGCTCACGTTCTTCAAGTTGCGGCTACTTTGATATCTGACCTCGTTATACTCACAGATTCTCTTGATCAGGCTGGAAATGTTTCACGTTTGGCTAGGTTTATATCGCTAGTTGGTGATTATAATCAATCTGAATTCAGCCAACGGTTTACGGATTTGGCGGACATCCTCATTGGTTGGTGTGTGGATTCTTCAAGCATCCATCGAGGTGTCGCTATTAGTTCGCTTTTGCATGAACTTTCGTTCAACCTAAGTCGCTGGTGGTTTGATTCATCAAGTTCGGAAGATTGTTATTTACTCTCTGAGTCTACTTGCAAGATGCTTGGCCATTTGCTTGAAGATGCTGATACATGTCTGCAAAAGGCAATTTCAGAATACCGCCAGACCTCCGTGAACATTGCTCCTAGGCGTAATGCGCCTGCTGTCAGACCCTTAGCATTTACAGAGATAGCGCAAAATCTGATCGCCTCTAACCTGTACTTTGCAGTGTTGGCTGGTATTTGTTCGAGTGTAGAAAAATCCAGAACCGCTTTTCCCGATCGTGGTTGTATCAAGTTCTCAACTCTTTCAATTCCTGATTGGCTAGCTCGCGTAACAAATATCCTACATGGGCTTGAGCTAATATCTTCGGTCGCTACTTGCAGTTCCAAGTTCGCGTCAACTCCACGAACTTATGTGCCTCCGTCGTACTCCCTTCCACTTTTGACGTATGCGGACATACTGTTCCATGTCCACGTTGTTCTTCTCTTTACCGTATCCACAATGCATTTCGAAGGTGATTATTTGCGACAAAAGATTGGATCCTGTTTAAGTCAACCTCATGACGATTCCGTCTTCCAACCCAAGACTGCCCACATTCAGGTCTTATGTGAACTGGCTTATAAACTTCTTGAACAGACGCCGTCGAATTCACCAGGTTTAGTTATATCCACGTTCAAAATGATTTTTGGGAGTGAATCTTTATTACATCGACTCAAGACCAGCAGCAGTGGGTCTGCGGAGGTTTTCAATTTATTGTGCAACTTATCTAAACGCCATTTGTCTGGATGTGATATGCTTGCAATTATAACGGAGATGTGCATAGCTGACTTTCAGTTTGCATGTACCAAACTCTCTGGTGACAGCCAGTTAGGAGATACCGAAAATGAACTTCTTGTTCTATTTAGTGCTTCGCTGTTCGTGACTATTTTAAAACCTATTTCTGACGAACCCAACAGGGCGCCGTTTGCAAATGCGGCCAATAGCAGAATCATTCTCAATCTTGCTGATTTACATCGTCGATTCGCTCTGTGCAGAAGGATTTCTCAGCGTGTTCGCCTTGCTTTATGGGCGATTTTGTTATCAACGCTTGAGTACGGTGTGGAGGAAACTCCCGAATGCGCTATGGACTTGTCATTCATTATCCAGCAAATGTTTGTGACTGCGTCCGTGAATTTACAAGAGCTGATCTTGAGCAAGCGCCTGCTTCAATCGTTAACCCGCCCAGTAGCGGTCCAACTGTTTCAGCCTTTCTGTAGTTACCTCCTCAGCCTCATAAAGGATCCATACTCCCCTGTTAGAGCTGGAGATGGCAGCGTGTTCTGTGATGCTATCGGCCTTCTTATTCAATTGTCGGCCAACAAAACTGCGTCACCTGACGTCTTGGAACTTGCGGCCTTGTGTGCTAATCACCCGCTTCCTCGCATACAGTCAGCCGGGGCTGATCTACTTATAGTTTCCGGCATTTCATCATTTCCTTTATTTGAGTCCTCTAGAACAGTTCATCTCATATTGCAATGGTTCAACAGCACGATTCCCGATTTATCTACTTCATTGCTCACCTCTTCCTCGATTAGCGCAATTGGACCAGGTGGTTCTCGAAGTCAAAATAGCAACCACTTACGCACTCAGGGTGCTTTTCCTAGTTTACCTGCAGCCGCAGGTTTGTTGGGTTTACTCACTCGTGGTGCACCCTACATATCTGATGAACGAACTAGCCGTTTGGAGATTTTGGGTAATGCTTGTGACTGGCTACGTCGTCTCACTTGTTTGATTTCGCCTCTTCCGACAGATGGTAGGACCAACTGGTACGCGTCAGACACCTCCCCATTGACAATTGTTGTATGGTTTACCACTTGGTCAATAGTTGACTACAAACTCAAAGTAGCTCCCTGGGCGAACCCTGTAAAGACATTCCTTTCAATTGAGGCTGTCGTTCATGCCTTACTATCGCATTTGTCAAAAGCCCCAAAGTACCAGCCCTCGACCCAGGAATTGCAGGGCTTTCTGACTTCATCAACAAACGCGGTATCTAGTCAAACCTTGGTTCGTCAAATTCGTCAATCAACCCTTGCAATACAAGTTCTGCGTCAGTTAGAGAAGACAATTACGAATGCGGTTGACGGATTTACGGTTGCATTACCAACTACACCACCAGCTGCACATGCCTTTTTCAAAGCGAACGCGATGACATGCTACCAATGGTTCAACCGCGTACGAACACCGCTTGTCAGTTTGGCCTCGTGGATCGCCCCCATCGAGGTTGGTGGAACTGAGGCATCTGCGACAACTATTTGGAGTGTCTACAGTCTACTTCATCAAGTGACCAATTCGAATCCATCCCAATGGTTCAATCTTCTCACAAGGTTTGGTAACCCCGAGACTATCTTGTTGTGTGCTATCCAAGCATTACAACAAGTTGGCGCAGCTGATGAACTTGACCTCGCGCATGAGTAAGAATACACTTGCTTTATGCTCGATCTCTAATTTAAATGGTACTGTGGAGTGTTCTTGCACCATTCTTGGAACGTTTGCAGTGACGGAAATTAAGCTGAACCCTAGTTCTGCTCAAGCTCTTCACACCACATGGTGTAATTACTTGGTTCTACTAAATAGAGTAACACGTTATAGTTTGGATACCCTTAGTGAAGTCGCTTGTGTTGTATTGAACCTTCTTAAAAGGAGTTAGATGTGTAGAATGGTTAGAGTCAAATGCGTTCTGAATCTACCTTAAAGTTCAATCATTTAAATGTTATGTTTTTTACAACTTTTTTTAGCATTTTCGAAGTGTCACTGATGAAACCTTGCTAGATTTGCGTAAATAAAAAAAGCTTATTACATTTGCCGTACTACTCTGTTTTTCATTTTAAGCTACCTCAAGCGCTTTGTTCCGAGCCCAGCAAAGTCAACGATTCATCCATTTTTCTGGGTCCACGGCCTCGCCTGTCTAACAAGAGGACATTTGGATGAGGGCTTGTCATGTCTTTTTACTTTCTTGGAATCCTGTCCATATCCATCAACTGATTCCGTCGGTGCAGCGTCTCGTGAATTCGTCCGTTGTTTGCTCTTGGCCACACTCCTTCGTCTAGGTAATTTCGAGGATGCTGGCCGATTATGTCGCCTTCAGCTCTGTGATAGCGTAAATAACCAAAACGCATCGGCAATGTGTAATAATCAGGGCGATACACCTCCGACGAAACGCAAGGCGGTATTACAAAAAGCCAAGCAGGAGACTTCTGACGATCTCCCTCTCCGTTATCCCAGTGTTGCTTCTGAGCAGCTTCGAGCTCTGCAAAAATTGGCCTCGTAAGCTATCATTTATGTTGATCGTATCTACCTAAAATTAGCACGCTTATTGGTGAAACACATCACTAGTTCTCCCATTTATGTCGTCCTGAAACGATTATAATTGTTTTGATTAGTGGCCGTAATTCTCTGCAATTGCTGACAGGACCATTTTTGCCGTAGAGTGTTCTAGTTGTGTTCATTTAACGCGTTATCACTCTGTTGCGACTTCTGTGACTTATGTTTATGTTTTTTGTGCACCATTTTTTATGTAAAATCAATCTACTATAGGATCTCACCGGATGAATTTGTTCCAAGTTGTTCAAATTTGCATCACCGTGGCCGTTTTTGCTTCATTGTTAATCGGTATTATGCAACTCGTAGTGACTTATCCTGGATCCTGTCCACTACTTTAATGCAACTAAATGACTTCTTTTAACATGTAAGTTTTGCCTTTCAATAGCTGGGACAGCGATGCAATATCTTCAATATCACCTTCTCCAAGCTCGGCAGCTTCAATAATTACGGAACAGGAAGATAAACTTTTATCCACTGGCTTAAACTCAGTGTCAGAAGTCATACATAGTATTCGTCATGCTTCTAATGCTGTCATTCCGCTGGCTGACTACACTACCTACCATGACTACTATAGACACCATCATATAACTCCGGAATCCTCCCTTCCATCGCTGCTCTTTGAGACTGACCTTCTTCTGCACGAACCCACTCACTTTCCTTCAGTCAACGACGTCGGTTTTGGCTCGTGGAGCCTGCTGACAAGAAAAGGTGGTAATCTTCCGGTCTTTCTTCATGTTTGTGAACCTCTTATTCTCACCCAGTGCTGCGACCGCATTCCATCTGGTTTCTCTAAGGATATCGCTATGAAGTTGCTTCGGCAACAGTTCGGCGCACTTGGTTTGTCGCTGAATAGGGAAAATTACAGGCAGCTTGTTGACACTATTAATGTGATGGAGGAGTTTTCAGGAGTTGACCGACTGCGCTTAGTTCGTTACCTTGGCAACCTCCTCTGGACATCGGATACTAGTAGTGATCGTCGAGTAGCTGCGATGAATTGCCTCGCCCAAGGTCTCCAAAGAAGTGTGTTGGAAACAAACGCTTCAGATCGTTCGCTGCATGCGAAGCAGTGCCTCTTGAATGCTTCAGTTGCGTTGCAATTGTTTAAGTTTCTGGAGTCCCCCGTCCAGTCTTCGATCGAGGAGGGAAAAGTTAAGACTCTGTGTGAAGAAGTCTTTTCTAATTGTGCTTCTGATGCTGGTATCGGTGAGGTAGGTGATTTATTTATTATGTATGGATATAACATTGCTACTTGTCTGATCCATTGCATTGTAATATTACTGAGCTTTGAACTGTTCGTCGTTCCGTGGTAAAATGAGTAGCGTTCTTATCTATTTGCACAATCAGTGCTAATTTTTCGGTTGGTGTAGGTTTTGGTTGGGTGACGAAAAAGCTACGTTGCTGTACTAGTATCTCCTCTGTAATTATTCGATTTTCCTTATTTCACCTATCAGCAATGTTGCTGTCCGCCACTGCACTGAATGAAGGTATTATCTGAAGACCAATTAGGCGGGTGTTCATGAAGCCATTGTGTTTACACTGGTATTGAACACCTGAGGCAGCACGCATCAGATTTGCACCCTTGCATCCTCCTTTTTAGACATCACCACGGAATGCACATTGTCTGGTGCAGCACTTGCTCCAGTTCACTCGGCTTACGGCTGCTCCCTGGGTGGACGGCGTTCCACTCGTCCCTCCGGGTGACAAAACTGGGGCGGACGTTGCCACCTTTATCAAAAGCTCATCACCATCAGAACTCTCGATGCGTCTCCTAATGTTTGCCACTCGTCTGTCGCCAACCAACGCCTCTGCTGCAGCCTGGCTCGAAATGGCTAACTGGTGCTATTGGCGAGGGCAAAAGGAGGTTCGTTAACTCATTGTCTAGTTGATTTAACCAACTTTCTGTTGAATGATTGTTAACCTGGAAGGTCCACGAGAACTCTGGGTGTATTTGAACTTGGCTTTTTGGATAAGGCTCATTTCATGTAATTCTTAGTCAGCAACTTGGTTTGGCTAATATTGATTATTTGGAATATGTAGAGACTTAACATCCACCCCCAGTAAAACGTATGATTGTGCTAAAGGGTCAATTTTCGTCAAATTTTTGAATACCTGAACGAACTACATACTCCACTAACAGTAATAGTTTTAATGTGCTTCCCTTAAATGCTTTTAATACCAGAAAGTTAACATTGATTTTTACAAAACTACGATTAAACCACCGAAAAGAGCCCATAGAGCATATTTTAAAGTGAAATTTCGTTGCAAAACATTTTGAAACACGCGAGTCATTAATAAAATGCCGACTTGTCGAGAATTCTTTAACTTTTGCAGATATCTGAACGGGGACCCCGAACGCAATGCGCTACAAATCCGATTCTAATGTTTAGTACACTGATAATTATATGAAGGCGTGTTCGATTGAAAGTTGTTACATTCAGTAACCAACATCAGTCAGTATAGGCCGTTTTTAAATGGACATAAATCTACCACAGTGGTTTTTGTTATTTTTGCCTCATTCCAAGATTGGATGCAGACTACTGGATTAAAATGTGAAGCGGCCATTGTCTAATACTGTTTTCTTGTACTTAGATCAAGTCCACTCTTACCGAAGCAAAGAGAATCCTTGCATTGTCACAGCCCGACTCCATTTCCACAACTCTTCTTGACTCGCTTACCTCAGAGGAGCGTGATTCACTCTCTCAACTTCTGACCACTGAGTTGCCTGTCACCAATGCCGCGAGCGGTGCCCAAATCGTTGCTAAGGTGTACACTTTCCTTAGTAATGATGGCGAGGATGGAGATAGCAATTTTCAGATGCATCAGTATTGCGTTGATGACCTGTCTGACACTGGAATCCCGCTGAACAATGTGGTGCGTTTCTTGTTATTAGCTCCCATGTCTTGTGAATCTCGTGAACCTCATTTAACTTTCACCACCTGTTGGTAGGCTTGTATGGTCTTGATTACTCATTAACTCACGGTACGGCCCATGGTTTCGACACTTTCCAACCATTATAGAAGGGAGTTTCCCCAAGCCTAGGTACGCTCAGCGACTAGCTGTAATTGCTGTTTCACTAACTACTCTCAAAGTAAATTATAGCCTAGTACCTCTTTTAAGCCCAATTTTTTTAGAATTATATCATGGTCACTGCGTTCTTTGTTTAGTTAAGGCAACGATTTGCCTCACACCTGACAACTGGACAGGCGCTACCTATCGATAATGTGGCTTTGGACTCTCGCCTATTGTCGGGATGCGCCAACCTTGCTTCCACATTAATTCCTCGACTCTACACACTGTACACATTCGCTGCACAGGCCTACGTAACATACCTGGCCGTTGCCGGTCAGCTCATTAACGAGGGAGTGAGTGTGCTGCGTGAGGACTCAGTGCCCATCGAACGCATTCAACCGCTGGAGCCAACAACAGGTAGCCTGCAGGTTTTCTCGCTAACTCGTTAATGCTCTCATTTCTGCAGATTTCAGTGGTATTTAAATGGATAGGATTTTTTTACTGGCTCCAAGTTAAATCACTTATGTCTTTTTTTTGCAAATTTGCACACAGCCACTCTTCGGCTACTTTGTCTTATCAACGAGCCTTGTCGGTCGCTCCGGCGAACACTGAAGAATCTGATGGTCCACGGCACCTCCGACGATGCACCCACACTCTCTCCACCCCCCTCCCTCAGTAGCCACTCGGGACCGGTTGTGTGGGCAGCATGCTTGCCTCAGATGCTCGTCCGTCTAGGGCACCCCGACCCAGCTGTTCGCCAGTGCCTCGTGGAGCTTCTCTGTCGTCTCATACGCATGACGAGTCCTGAGACCTCTGGCACTGATCGCGCATTGGCGAGCCGACTTGTTTTCCCTGTCATCGTCGGAAGCAAGGGTGTCGATTGTGGTGAGTTACCGCTGTCAGATTCTTTTCTTTTAATGCAGCACTTTCCGAGTAGGAAGCGGTGGTGTAACAAACGTTGCGAAGTGAAGTGTTTTGCTTCAGCTGTATTAATGTTTGCTTGTTTTTCCGCACAAAGTACAACTGGACGCACGCGCTAAGAGTCATGCCGAGATTGTTTCAACTCTCTGTGCTGCTGGATGTGGGGATATGGTGCAGCAGGTGTCGTCGTTTATTGAAGAGATGCGCCGTGTTGCGATTCTTTGGGAAGAGCTGTGGTCTGGCGCTCTCACCCAGCACGTTGACGAACTGAACAAAAAGGTACAGTTTTATTATAAACAGAATGGCACACTACGTGTTATGTCAAGTATTAACAATTTCTTCTTTGGGACAAATCGGAAACTAAACAATTGTCACATAGAATGTAAATCAAGCGAAGAAAATTGTCTGTACTGCGTGAATTCAAATGTACCCTCCCGTTTTCTGTCTGCATTGTATTTACTGATGCGGATTCTTATGTTGCCTACTCCATTCTGACGGTACACGGTGGCTTTCTCTCTCTCTGTATTAGTGTGTCTCGGGTTTTATTCACGGCTGGGGATTGGCATTAATTCTAAGCCAACATTAGTGATGGCGCACTAAGTAGGTAATTTATAGGTCTTATTCATCAATAGTTAATTTATATTCTTTGGTTTTTTTTATTTTTTTGTTTGCACTTTAAAAAAAAAGCGATGCTAAGCCTTTGCAACTTCAATAGTTATGTTTTTTGTGGCTGCCAATACATTGGGCAGCTAATAACATTGGAATAATTTACAAAATATAGGCACTTCACCATTCGATTTTTCGTGCAAGCCAACAGATGTCTCCTGGTGTTGGAGCTCCAACCTACCCGACTGCCTAATGCCGCTACCTTTAATTTTCAGATAAGTGCGCTTGAACAGGATCTTAAAAGGAACACCGTCTCCAGCCCCTCAACACCGGCCTCGTGCACTAGCACCAGTCTAGTGGGTGAAGTAGGGGGGGAGTCGTCAGACGGCGAGACACGCATGAACAGCCTCTGCAAGCTCAAGTATCAGGCTCTTCTTACTCCCACGTTTACGGTCCTCCAGCAGCTGTCCAGTTTGACGCTCGACGTCCCTGCACAGACGAGTCACGAGGCCTGGTTCCAGAGAACCTTCAAATCGGTGAGCTAAACAAATAAAGCCCGGTGGTTTGTTTACATTCGGTCCCAACTTTGCCAGATGCCTCTTGGTCAAATGCGCGATTTTACCGCTGTTGTCCTTGTTACCTGGCGAGTCAAATTATTACCTCATGCCTGTTTTGCTGATATGCTTACTTGTCCGATCTTGTTTTGAGCTCTGCATGTTTTACTTTACATCAAACAACCGTTTTGTTTTTCTTGCATTATGTCGTCTTTCAAAGAATACTGTGATATGTAGAAGGAGGAACACAAAAATGTAATAACTTTTCTTTCGTGGCGCGATACCTTTTTGGCTCCTCGATTGAAACTTGTGCAGAATGGCATTTCCAGTAAACTCGGCTGCAGCGTGGTTTTCCTCTTGAATTAGTAGTCAGTATTGCTTTCTACTGCGGCGCAATGTTCGCGTAGTTTGCTTGAACCACAACTCGTGAGTAGTTCCACCAAGTCCTTATTTCTAAAATGGCTGTTTATTATGTGCCACTGCTTAATGCCACTGAAGTTAATTTATTTGGATTCCAAATTTATTTTTGTTACAGTACATTGAAGAAACCGTTTCGTCACTCACAAAGTTCTGCAATTCACCAACTTCTGTTGACCAACCAACACCTGTTGCTCTCTTGCAACAACTGATATCACGCCTTCAGACGCTCAGTCAGCCTCTTCACGAGGCCGGTGGTGCCGCAGGTCGCCATCCATCATCCGTTGCGGGACGCATCCTCCACCTGGCCCAAATTTCACCTCGTCTCGCTGCGCTAAATAGCAACCTGTCGATCCCACTACCCGGTCGCTCTTACCTTAATCTTGCTCGTATCGGGCCCAAAATTAACGTCTTTCCAACGAAAACACGTCCAAAGCGCATTGTCTTTTGGGGAGAAAACGGCCATTCTTTCCCCTATCTTCTTAAGTGCCTCGAGGATCTCCGTTTAGACTCTCGAGTAATGCAGTTGATGAGGTTAACAAATATTGCCTTCCGATCGTCAGGTCGTGAGGGGGTCACTACTACAAAGACCTACTCGGTAACCCCGATTGGACCGAAGGCAGGTCTAATCCAGATGGTGCAGGGGGCTGTGCCGCTCTTCAACCTCTACAAACGCTGGCAACAAAGGCAAGCAGCGGACGCTAATCCACACAGTGCGGACACTGAGCCCTCGAAATTGGTGCTTCCAAAGCCGTCAGATTTGTTCTACTCCAAGTTGAGGGAGTTCATGCCTCCTAACGTGGTTCATTCATCTGGTGCGAGATCGTCGTGGCCCAAAGATGTCCTTAAAAAGGTGTGCTGACTATCCTTTCATCTTTTTGATTAGTTTGTCGCGTTTTGGCACCACTGTGATCTCCTAAGTAGTGATTTTCTGTGTCGCCATGCCCGTAAAGAAGTTGTCGATCTTGCGAGTTTTAGTGTTGTTCTCAACACAAACATCCCGAAAAATACATGCTAGTACATTCCCAAATCCAGGTGCTACCCGATTTTCGTAAACTTTTTTCTGTTGTCTGATGCTACCCATTCGTCAAAACATATCTTTCTTTTGTAACCAGATGAACTTTTTTCCAAGACTGAAAAATATAATCCACAGTCGTCTTTAAACCAATTTATATGTAGCATTGTCTATTTGCTAGGTGTTTCATTCCCTTCAATCTGAGACACCTGCCGATTTACTAACTCGAGAGCTGTGGGCAGCAAGTCCCAATATGTCTGCATGGTGGCGTGCTTCTCAAACGTTCGCCTCTTCCCTGGGTCTCACCTCGGCCTTCGGTTACCTCATCGGTCTCGGTGATCGTCATCTGGATAACCTTTTAATTGATCTTTCAACTGGAAGACTCATCCACATCGATTTTAACGTCTGTTTTGATGAGGGTCGTTCCCTCCGAGTGCCAGAACTTGTTCCATTTCGTCTTACTCGCATCCTCCGGCACCCGTTGGGCCCCTTCTGTGATCTCCCCGCACTCACTTCAGGAAAAGGAGGGACTTTTGGTGCAAGCTTTCTTGAGACCCTTAAACTGTGTCGGTCGATTCGAGAACTTTTCCGTGTTCAGTTGCAAAGCTTCGAAATCGATCCTCTTATGGACTGGATGCGAGCGGCTGCTAAAGGGCAGCAGACTTGGTCCACGTTTGATCTCACTTATCTTGCTGCTTATCGTGGCGGGTGTTTAGCGGGTTCAGCTGACAAATTGCCTCCTCATAAACGTGAACTTGTCACAAAGAAATGGCGTGTCCACGAACGAATGTGTGCAGAGCTACATAGAGCTGTGGGTAGGTCAAAATCACAATTATTGTAATCGTAGCAATTTCCTTGAATCGTGGACTATTTACTTTCCCTTTTTTAGGATTTTTGGCTGCTAGATTTGTCGAAGTTGGCGGTACCAGCGAAGCTGTATGCGAGCAGCTTTTCTCTGTTCTCAATGTACTCGAGAGTAATCTCGGTATTTGGCGCACCTACCGAGAAAAACAGTCGGATGTCGGGCGGTATCAGCAACGACTCGCCATCCTCACCACTGAGGTGGATAAAAGTGAAAAACTTGACAATCTGGAAGCACGTATTCGAGCGCGTGATCGCACCAAGCAGGAGCTACTTCAGGTGGAAGAAAATCTCGCCAACTTTGTTGCATCCATGGAAACCAACATTGTCAGCTCTTTGCAGCTCCTCGCTAGGTGGCTAACGCCAGACTCCGGTGTCTTCAACCTACCAACTGGTACAGATGAGGATCTCCAGAGGGCTATCTGTGACTATCGGAGTGTTGCTCGGGCATACATCATGCCTAATGATTCTCCGCTTCACTTTCTCAACAAAGACACCACATGGTTCTCTACGAAACGGCAAATTATCTCAACGACACGGGAAATGCTTGATTCTTTTCCGTCTAAGAAGAATCTGGAGTCTACTTTCAGTAAATTGACCTTCACTCTTTCACATTCCTCACAGGATGGGAAAGCAGTTTCTCGTTTGCAGAGCGCACTAACGGAGGCTGAGATGCATTTGGCTTCTCTCACGTCTCAGCATTTTGTTCCACCTACATTGGCGCACGAAAATTTTTCCTCTCTGCTTAGTCAAAACGAAGTGGACTTGGCTGCATTCATCAGTAAATTTGACGGGGTAATGATTTTGCCCGCATTTAAGTGGTCTTTAATCAAACATGTTGCAGCTTGGATCCACTCCATGTATGCACTAGAACCATTGCAACACGTAGATCTCCTTCATCATCACACCAGCGTTATTGCTTGTGCGTTCTCTCCACTTGATCCATCCAGAAACCCCGCTGCCATGCCTTTTTGGGCTGGTCAGGAGGCGGATGCACATTCTGAGCTCCAGTTCTTCCTCATTACACATCAGTTCCTCTCACAGGTGATCGAGTTGCGCAACAACTTGTGCGATCTCCTCCTGCCAAAACTTGAAGACGCCATTCGGGAGGCATCCTGTACGAGCGTTGGCCTCTTGGACCGTATCCAGCAGGTGGTAAATGGAGGAAGTGGCATCGCTGCTGCCCAATGTGCAGTCAATCAAATACTCACCGAAAACGATGGAGACCCATTGTCGCAAGTGTTTTTGGCAATTCACCTAGCGCTTTTGAATTCCACCGCCGAAATGGATGAGCTGAGTCGGAGAATGACTGAATACCCTATAACCGCAATGAACTGGGTACATGCTGACCTAGTTTCGCAAGCAATCGCCACCCTTCAGAGTCGATGCACTGCCACACATGGCGCGACTAGTCTCTGGGGCTGGCATCCCATCAGTGGACAGAGTATGGCCACCACTTGGATGGACGAGGTTTATGGAGCTGGCATGTCTGTTGTTCTCAAAATCGCCGTCGATTTGCGTCAGCTCTGGGTCGGTGTGCGAGACGGAAAATTCCAACATGGTATACCTGCTGTTCCTGTTGCAAGCATCCTCGAAACTGACTTTATTACTCGTTTAGCAGATCGTCTAGCCCTCGTTAGTCAATCGGCCTTGGCTTGTAGTCGTTTGCTTTTGTCCCTATTGGAGGAATCTGGGTTTTCAGTAAGACAGGCAGTGTACGAGGTGGAGCGTGTGATACCACACCAACGGACGCCGCCCACTGTTTTTGTTGATAGAATGATCCAATCGGCTGACTTTTATGCTGTTAGTGTGCATCCACCGGAAATACAGGCACTGTCAGGGATGGCGGGTTCCATGCTGACCAACATATTCGCAAGAACCATGTCATATGTTCATAAAACAATCGCCGCGAGAGAAATTCGTGCCGCTGAACTGCAGGTGGGACTTATTCGAGACGCGAAACGGGTCTACTCGTGGCTTCACGACACCCAGGATGAGTCCGACGGCTCCCTTCGAAAGTGCTTGACTCGTCTGGAGACTGCACTATCAGCGGTGCGTAAAGAAGGGGATCAGCTAGATGTGGAGACTCAGGAACTTTGTGAACTGGGTGAAGCAATTTGTTCGGCTGAACGCGATCGCCTCTGGTAAGTTTTGCTGGACGTTTTTGACCCACTTTGGGTTAATCCACTTAAGCTGTCGTAGCTTAAGAATCCTTGCTGCTCCGTATTTCGCGCCATGGTTTCATTATACAGTAGACAAATTTCAGCCTTGCATGAAATTGTCTAATGATACTGGATGATAGTGTTTCGTGTTTGTTAAAATAAAATTGCCTTTAAGCCTATGGTTCGTCTTAAATCACCTTTTTTAAAATAGATACATTTACTAGGTAAATTTTACCAGACTGCCGGCATGCCTAAAACTGTTTATGCAATATATTCGTTTTCATGAGCTTGTTAAGCTCCTGTCTTTTTCGTCTCTAGTGAGTCGACGTGTGTGAATGAAATTCTCACTCTACTGGCTGACCGTAAATCTATTTGGCAGAACTACGATCATTGTGAAAAGGAGCTCACTCCGCTTGATTTGGATCTACTAACTATGAAGGTACTTTTTTGCCAGTTTTACGCAACTTCAGCATCAATTCTCCAGCAGTGCGCCATTGTTTGGACGGCCCTGGTGTTCTCCCAACTACCTAGCCTTTTGTTGACCAACTTTTTCCACTTTTCGGCGTTACATTTCCTCGCGTATTTTGGTGCTAGTCATCCATGTACTGTTTCACTCTCATTTTCATAAAGCTGCTAGCTATCGTTGTTGCGCCCCGTGAGTCGTTTTTCATCAAAGGCTTGTTGACGCTCCGGCTACACGACATTAAAATTGTTTGCTCCAAGTTTTTTTCAAGCCCGTTAAAATGCGATTGTTGCTAACTTTTCTGTATGTCAACTCGAAAGACTGATCTGACTGCAAAATATTTGTTCATGCCTGACAGTGGTTTTGGGACTTAGGATCGATAATTTAGTATTGGTGGGTTCTAGTTGTGTTACACTTGCTTCAATGGTTATGGCCTTACTACTTTTAATTCCGTGGTCATTTGAGCAGTGGAACTAAATATAGGGAGTTGTGCTTTTTAATGAGGTAGTTTGTTTAGTATGTAAAACGGCTAGCTAAGTGGCTGCTGTCTATCTTGCCCTTTTCAACCATGCGGAATCGTCTGCTCACGCTCTGTGCGCGGACCTCTCCAGCTTTTCAGGTCACCCAGACTGATGGGCCAACAGCCACATTAGTCATGCGTGACCGAACGCACCCTCATGACAACGACACTACTTTGTTGAGCTAATAAACGGTTCTTGTCTCATTCCGTCCCTGTGTACTTCATGTTGCATCGCGCTGCAACACACCGATATCGAATGCTGTCTAATGTTGCGACGTTATTCGTTTCGGATCACTGGCAAGACGGCAAATATCGATGGAAATGGTCCCATCCCCTCATTTAATCCGCCTCTTTCATTTTGGAGTCCCTGTATGTCAAGCCAGTCGATTTCTGGGCATTTTCAGGATGAGTACAATCTGTGTTGGCCTGCCGCTGATTGGCCCATAGCCAGTGTTCCAGGTCCTGAGGAATCCAACATCAGTCTTATCGACGCGGTATCGGAACGACTATCTTTGGCCCAAGAGGAGTTATCAGCCAATGCCGAGTTTCTGAAGTCGTTAACTTTGGCGCTGGTTGCCAAAGATGCCACCCTCGCCACCTCCTCCGCCAAGAGCAGAAAAAAGCGGCGAAATAATCCAGCTGCTGCAACGGCGGCGGCCCAGTTGCATGATGAAGGCCTTGCCAGCGTCACGACACTCCGTCAGGCACTTTCGTCTTTCCAGATGACTTTCCTCCTCGAGGTATTTGCATTTTCAATTTCTACAAGTTAGGCGTGTCTTGTGCTCACTTCAATAGTCCTTGATTTTGTTAGGAAAAAAACCAGTGACTTTTGAAAAGCACACTGATTCGAAATTCACGTGCGCGGTTATTCACTGTGTCGCCCTGGCTTTTTTGTCCTCCACTTGGCTTGGAAGCATTGCTTTGGGTTCCGATTTTTCGCGATTAGTGGACACTGGGACAATCTCTTGTGTAGAGTCGTTGATGATAGAGTTTCTAATGGTTTGGTTAGAAATTGACATCGGTTCTTGCAAGAAACGATCTCGCTTTGTTTGTATTGAAGGACTTTTGCCATCGGTTGTGGTTTTTCTCTTAAGATGTGACAGCTGTCCTCGGGTTGGTGTTACGAACCGATATTCCGATTGGTTACGGTAGAGTACAGCAGTCGAAAATTGCATCTTATATAATCGTTCTCCTAACATTATGCGTTTTGTGGTACTTGTGAATCAGTTGTTACACCGCCTGCTGTCTTGTGAGTGTGTGATTTGAAGTGGTGACATGCTTCTCCAACTAGCACTTTATTTCTACATCCAAAAATTTGAGCTGACCCGTTAAAATTGTGGAACATTTTCTAGTGAACACTGAATAAGGTGAAGTTGTCTTTACATTGATTTGACTCACATTCTTCTTTACAATTCTCTTCTCAATTTTACACCAGGTGCGCCCACACATCAAGCAGTTGGTTCGCATTAGTCAAGTGTACCAGGACGAGGTGTGCGTGCGTATTTGGTCCCCGTGGTTAGACGACCTGCAAGCGTGGACGGAGACAGCCAATAGAATAGTTCAGAAGTTCTCCACCTTCCTGGCTGACTTGTCAGAGGAGTCGAAGAAGAATACGGGTGAAGACGACGTCGTATGTGATCTTGCAGAGGCCATTCTTGTCGACTGTCAGCACCTTCATACCGAGCTAACGCCACGACTGCTAGTGGGCATTCGGTCTGGCATCTGGGCAACTCTGGGTAGATCGGAGTCTGCATTAATTGCGCCGACTCTCCGTGAAGTTGGATTCGTCAGTGACGAGGACAGTTCTGACCCTCTTGACCAGCGACCTTGCTCCTCGTCTTCAGACACCATTGTGGTACGTCGATATGAGTTTAATTGTTTTTTTTTGTTTCAATGAATTTACAATAGCCAGTAGATCTACATCCTCTTCTTGGAGCAAGGGAGGGAGGCTTTGGTGTGATCGGCCGAAGTTTTTTTAGGGGTATTTTTCGACAAAGTCACTCCTTTGCAACGCCATTGGTGCCGGCAACACTTGAGCATATCTGTTACCATGTCTGTCAGCCTTTTCAGGTTTATAGTTTATCTTTTGCCTTAAAGTGCAATCACACCGCGATACTACTCCGTCCTCAGTTTAAATAATAATCTGTACGAGCATCTGTCAGAGACATTGCTTAATAAAAAAATTAAGTATTTGGAAAACGCTTGTATGGTTTCATTTTTTCTGCTCTCTCCAATTCCTACCCACCGTGTCAGTAATTAATGTCATGTTCAACGTACCTTCATATTCTCGTGGTGGCGAATAAACTGCGGTGCCATTTGTGTGTGCATTTAAGCTTAAGTAGTTGTCTGTGCTTGCAGGGCCTCCTCCCGCCCAGTGAGATTGTGCATCGGGAGCAAATCCCTCCTCAAGCAGTTGCGGCGATGAAACGACTTTGTGGACGTCTTGAGGGCGTGGACGACTACTTGCTGGCGACGGACGCGGCGTCAGACGTGGCGATGAGCCCCGCGGAACAGGCTGCTGCCTGCGTCCGCACGGCCGTCGATCCCGATCGCCTGGCCGCCATGTTCGAAGGCTGGACCCCGTGGGTGTGAAGTGGAAGCGCCGTCATCATGGATCAACAATCTACCGTGAAGTTTGTTTCGGGGAGTGTGAGCTGTCCTGTATTCCTCGTGTGCGGGCGTGATTGAAAACCATGGACGTGCTAGCCAATGCTATTCGCAGTCCAGACTGTTTCCGCTGTAGGTTCGGTGGGTAGTAACGGTGTTAAATTTATGATTGACTGGTCTCATATTCTTGCTTATTAAGACACTTTCTCATTCCTGCTGATGACAATTAACACTAATGTGCTTAAAACGCCAAAGAAATGCTCAATGGTGGGTCATGTGATCGCAACCCTTGACATAAAGTCGCACGTATTTCCTGAGTATCTTACTGATTGGTAATCGCTGTGTTATCCTACAAAGTAACACGAAGTAATGACATCACAGCATCATCTGTGACTGTTGGCTGTGATTGTGTAGCCATCAGAATTTTTATGCATCGAGGTTACGAAAACTTGGCTCTGGTGTGTGCCTCGCTATCAAGAGAGACATCATTTATCGAGAAAACTAACTTTGTTATTTAAGGTCCTATGCGAGGTTCGTTTTCTGCCCTTTTTAGTGCCAGTATCGATGCGCTTAATCGGGCCTCGATTTCTCGAAGGAAACCCATCGTTACCTGCTGTGCCGCCCGCCATGCTGCTACACAAAAAATAATAATTGACGCTTGTCCGATCGTATACGCTCTGTGTTGACCTACGTTAAAGCTCATGCCCCACGTTTATCTCCCGTCACCTCCTCCGTTATTGTATTCTGCCCGACGTACTTTTGTTCCCCTCTTCTCTCCCCTCGTGATTGAACCAGAAAAATTATTTAAAATGTCGAAGGGCAAAAATCGCAGATTCAGCCATTGACCTCCTTCTGGTGGTGCCAGTGTTGCAGTGTGCCTTTTGTTCATATACATGGAAACATGTTCTACTTAGGTAAATTTAGTAGACTGTAAAGTGTAATTGTTGTCAAAGGCGTCAAGATCTGTTAGTGCTCTGCCGACAGCACTCATCTAGTGATTGCCTGTGTGCGCACTTATGCGATACGCCCAGATCTAGACGTAGCTCCCCTGAAGTTAATTCTCGTTTTAAAGCGATATGCCTGTAAAATGTGAAGACGGACATCGTGGTATTGTTGCGGCTTTGTTACTGCCGAACTGATCCATGTGGTTCCTCTATCACTGGGCAGAATCTACAGCTTGTTATATGCGTCAAGTTAAGGTGCCGTTCCAGTGGGAGTGTGGCAGACATTTAAGTGCTGCAGGCTGATCGGGAGACATTTCTTTGTCTTCCATGCACTAGAGAGGTTCGCATTTCTGTGAGAATTTGCTGCTAACTGTTGTGTGTAGAAGCCATCTTATTGCAAGCAGGAAAATCTGTATAGATAGCGCAGTCAGTTTGTGGTTTTCTAAGCCTAGCTCTGATGCGTCAATGTAGCTCTCGTTACGACGACAGGTCGTCGCTCATCAACCAATCTTGGCACAAACTGTGTGAGAGCTAGGCTTAGAAAACCACGGAACAGGCATTATCTGACTCTCATTTTAAACTGTTTTTTTCGACGCACTTGTTCTTAATTGCAATAGATTTGGGCAATTTAGGAAGTGCTGCTTATCATCGTGAAAATTTAAGATTAGTTAACACTACAATGCTAGAGTTTGGTTGTAATATTCGGCACTAAAAACCCTACTACATTTGCAGTATTTAATGTCGCTCCATTAGGTTGTGTAAAAAGTGTGATTGGTCAGTGTTGATGCCGGCCCAAGCGCGATTGTGTTCAGATTTTTTGTATTTCCTACCGTGCTGCTCATTTGAGGACTTTAACACGCTTCAATGACCATCTAAGTTCTGGCATTGTTAGTGGGAAGAAGGCCAGGTAATTTCAGGCGTCTTTGTGGTTGTTTACAGCAGTTAAATTTTTATTTCATCAATTGATTAGCCACAAGTTACCGACAAAACTGTGCGGTTTGCATCTCAAAAAGGTGGATTGTCAAAGTTAAATTACGCAAAACAGATATTTTGCCTACGTCTACACTAATTTCGAAGCAGAAACCCACAGAATTCTGTGGATAACTTATCAACTTTTAAATTTTCGTTCATGAACCGAGCCACATCAATGTAACAAAGCTTGAATTTGCCCAGAAACTAATTTAACCTTTCGCAGTATCGTAACATCCAGGTAAACAAACTCGAATCCAGCATTGTTAGTTGCATCTGCCAAATAAGGAATTCTCGGGAAAAAATGAAATGTATGCTAATCTGGACTTATTGATAGTGTCATCAACTGTTTCCAACGTCCATCTGCTGTATCAACTTACAGTTTAGTCTACTTTGCTTTCTAGCTCCACAGTTTGTGCACTCATAGCTACAAACATCATTTTTCCCGTGAATTTAGGTCCAAGCAGTCCGTTTTACCAGACACACACGCAGATGGTATGCTTACAGAGTTAAACACTTACCTTTGTGATATATCAATGACCTGATAATCGCTGGATCTCATTAAAGTGGCATCGTTAGTTTCGCAATCGTATTTTATCCAAACATTCCTTTTAATTAATTAAAAATTCATCTTTCATACCCGAGTTAATCGAGTAAGTGGTTACAATGCATCTGTTAAACGCCTACCTGAATGAAGTCGCGCACTGTATGACAACTTGGTCTCCACTTTCCAATTGCCACTTCTCTCAATTAAATCCCAAGTTTGCATTTTGCACTTACTTGCATTTCCACTGCGTTGACTAACTTTCATTTGTAACCACCGAAATGAGCCAGCTGCGTCAACTAAGCAGAGATTTGCTTCTCATTTTGCACGAAACGACTCATGGTAGCAAGGTCTCTTCATAATTTCACTCTAAGTTTCACGCGGACCAGATAAAATGCGAATTTGAATTTTAAAGTCTTATAAAGGGTGCATTAGTTACAATACGTGAGAATTTGAAGGAGAATTGTATATGAGAAATGCGACCCCCGTCTAAGCACGCCTTGGTCCATTGTCAGTTCATCATCCTAACCGTCCATGAGTTTGTGAAGTCAACTGGTGTCGTTGCTCTCATTTTCTTTTCTTAACCGGCTTAAACACTGACTCGTCTGTACAACAGCCGCTCAGATCAATTTGGTGTGTTTCGGGCTGCCATCTCACACCACGCACCTGCTCATCCAACCCTCTGTCTGGTCACTAGAGCATTCCAACTCTCCTGGATAAAAGTCACAGACCGCAATGCCCCAATAATGAGTATCCACGAGCTTACCCACACACAGCTGGGTTGAGCAGTCTAGTCCGCGTTAGAGTCTTTACTGCCCCGTTTTCGCTGCTTTTCTCTCTGTACCTCGTGGCCCATTGTGCCTCAAAGGTAAAAATCACACTTCAGGACCGCATGCATTGTCGCTAAGCCAACTTTTGTTGTTAGTTATCTTTATTGAGTTACCCAGTGTACTTAATCGAAATTACACCACAACCCTGGTGACTAAATACTTGATGCAAGCCAATTTCGGAATACATGTCCTCCGCTGAGCGCACGTTTTGGCCTTGAAAAAGGGCTGAAATTCCTGGAAACGGATCTCACTTTCGCGTGTATTGTGTGATTTTCATGGGTGACTGACGCTTATTTTAATACCCGACGGTCATATAAACTGGTCGTGAGTTGACATATCCCTAGAAATGCTTATTCAAAGTAGTTTGTGTGAAGGGTTAGCATTCAAAAATTTAAAACCAAAAGTTACATTTCCGTCATTTGGTGTTACCTGCGTTTAACAAAGGAGGGTGTTTGATCTACAAATAACAATATTCAATTTCCTTTCCCAAATCGGTTAAAAGTGATTAAATCGACTTCAAAATAATGGCTTCAATTTAAGTTAAATATTTCGCTCCAGAGTGACCTTTCGGCATTGATGATTTAATGCTCCATTCGGTGAATAATAACACAGGGGTTACATCAGAGGAGATTGTTTAGAGACTAAAGGTTGACAATCAAACAGCATGACGCCATTTAGACTAATTTGACTGCATTTCTAAATGTGATATCCTGGCTCTGCACATATTGGTAGAATGAAAAACACAGTCGTGTTGCCACAGACATCTCTCCTCAATCATCAGCAGAACTAACATATCTTGGATTATTTCGTAACTGGAAATGAAAAATGAGGTGTGTGTTAAAAAACACTGGATATATGTTAGAGACTGCAATCCATGTAATAAACCTGCTGCCATGTGCCCAGTGGGAGGATCGCAGAGGAGTAATTTTTCTACGATATTCGACGTTTTCGAAAAAATAACTTGTCCAACTTAGTGCTGAAATCCACACAAAGTGTGCAAATTTAGTCAATTGGAAAAGCATCACTGAACACCATGACGGCACGAGACCCTACTTCGCCAGACAGACTGCAAAAATTGAGAAAAATCACACCAGCTTATCCACCAATACCCATCCTATCGCCCTGATAGTGTCACTTCACATTTTAAGTTGTCTTGTGCGCTGCAAAAGACTAGCTTTGTGGTAAAAAATAAAAAAAAATACCTTGCGACTTTCCTTGAATAGAAGCCATGCACTTGCTACTAACACGCTCAAAGGCAGGTTAAACTCTGGGAGTACAGTGTTTATTATTTATTAAATACATGTTTTCATTAAAATGTGTTGCATTTAATTTGAGTCAATCTTGCCTTACAAACGTTTGCAGTCATCCAATCTCAAAATAGCCCAGAACCTTGTAATTCCCAGCTGCACATTTTTGTTTAATGGTTGGTACGTACTTCATCCGGTTAATGAATTTGTGTAAAATGGTATTACTGGTTTGCAGAAGTACAAGTCAACTAATTAACCGCCGCGTAATTGAGTTTGGTGTTACATATCGACTCGCAATTTACCCCTGGAGCTTTATATTTTCCGTAATTGCCCTTCCAGTCGTTTAATTAATGACTGCACGTCTCGCACACAAGACTTAATCAAGAAACTGCGCATAACCTGCCCTCACCCACCCTCTCCTCTTTTCCAGTCGCTTCGAGCTAGCGTTTCA